TGTTTGGATGTGCAGAAACACGTACAGAAACATCAGAGATATTAGCTGTGTGTTGTTTTATGCATGGGTGTGAGTTCTGAGAAATCAGGGTGGGGCAGAGAGAGCGAGGGAGAGAGGCAGATGAGATCCAGTTCTCGTTCTCCCTCCAACAGATCTCCTTCATTAGATTAGCAGCGTGTTAACTGGCCTGTGTCATATGGAAATTCTGCCATTTGCATCTCTTGAGAAAGAGGCGTAAAACCATTTATCTATTTAAATATATTCTGGCTGATATGGCTGTTGGACTTTAGAACAGGGTATAATAATGTTTACTGATCAACTGATCAGCTGGCTGCTGATTCCTCACAGTTTTTGGTTGAGTGAACAACCAGGTCCTCCTCGGCGAGCCTCCCATGGCAACCCAGGAGCGAGCACGCCACTGCTGCTTTTTTCTGATTGGATCGCACATAACAGATCTGATATTATATCTCCGCTTCTTCTGATTGGATCCTGCTTTAATTAACTGATAGTGCGGTTGTGTGCGATTGGATAGAAGTTGTAGGACTTGTGAAATTTTAGCTCAAATGAAGGATGAAGTGATGATGCTAAAGAGCGAGCAGAGTTTGCTGCATCTGTTGCATCTTCCAAAAGGACAGATGTCCTAGAAGAAGTCGGCACCACAGGAAAAACTCCGCTTACATCGTTCCTATTGTTCCCCCCCCGCCCCCCCTCTTCAACAGCATCCAACAGCTCACCCCACCCCAATCTTGTCTTTCGTGGAAAGGCAGCCCCAAGGCACGATCCTAGAAGGAGTAGAGTAGGGGAGTTCAAAGCGTTATCACGCGCCGAACGTCTTTTCATCATGTTTTAGAAACAAGCGTTCGCACTAATCCCCCAATAATCTCTCCAGGAGAACTGGGGCGATAAGGCGCGCCACCCACGGCTTTTCAAACACTTTTTGGGTAGTCTCTTCTCACTCTCTATCTCTCTTCCCCTCTACCTCATCTACTCTCCTCTCCACTTCCTCTTTCCCTCACTCCCCGAGAAGGACGAGTGAAGGTGATCACCGTCTCCTCCTTACTCTCTCTCGAGCAGTTTTCTCCTCGTTTTTCCTTTTTCTTTTTTTTGTGTATGTGTGTTGACTCTGAATCGGTTTGTTTACATCCTGATTCTGATCTTTTGCAGTTTATCTGGACTCATCAACAGTGTTTCTCAGCCTCTGTGTTTCTTTCTCTCCTCCGCCCATCAAATTAGAATGTTAATTAAAATGGTGCTCCTTCAGAAGATGACAAATCGATGATTACGGTGAGTGTTGAGACACCTTCTGTGATGCCCCCCAGAAGAACGTGAGACATAAGTGGCGTTCCTAAAACAGAGGCAGAGTGCAA